CAGGAGTGTACAAGCTTGATTGTGAATGTGGTCTCTCCTACATAGGACAAACTAAAAGATCAATAAAAACCCGCGTTAAGGAACATATAGCTGATGTGAAGAATCGACGCTCCGGGAAGTCTGCAGTCTGTGAACACGTACAGGATCGCCCCCGTCACTACATCAGATTTGATAGACCGCAAATCCTCGCTAAAGAACACCGATTCCTTCCAAGAATGATTCGCGAGGCTATTGAAATCAAAAAACAATCTTATTTCAATAGAGGAGATGACTGGGTGATACCATCTGCTTGGGATCCGATAATAAATAAAATTAAATCCCAACCCAAGCATACAACTGCAAGACTTCAAGATACAATAAGTTCATACTGTATAGATCGGAACAAAAGTTAAATTTTAATCTATGGTAACCGCGGTTAGCTATGAGATATGGACGTTGATACATCTCAGTCCCGCCCGTGACCATGAGTGCTGTAAAGCGTTCGAAACGTCGGGTATTTAAAAAGTTAAATATACGCGTAAAAACTAGTATTAGCTTAATGCTGCTTTGTTTCTTGTAACGGGTTTATTGATAATATTCATTTATTTTTTATTTATTAAATTAATTCGTACAAAACTGTTAGATAAGTGCTTACGGCGTGAAAACTTCTTTAGAATAGCTGTGAACTGAATCTCGATGAACCGACAAATTGTCATTAAAAAGAGACAAATATATACATCTACAGGATTTAGCCTGCGAGAGAATGAAATAAAATTATATTTAATTAGTATTGTTTAGTCTACCTAGCGTCTATTTTACGTACTACTTTGAGAGTCAATCAATTTTTTTTTCTTCGATAAAAATGACTCTATCTATACATAAAGTAAATGGAGCTGAAAGTAAAATATTTTATTACATTTAGGCGCTGCAGATCTGTACAAATAAATAGAAAATATAATATGAGTTCCTATTTGTAACGTTAAAATAGCAGCATTTTACTAAATTCATATGAAATTATATACGGTACTTGTTATAAAAACACAATTTTTAAAAGTTTTGTTTATCTGTCAGCTGTTTGTTCAAGCCAATATCCGAAATGGCTGGACCAATTTTGACGTGACTTTCATTGACCGGTAGCATATGTTGTAAGGAGTAGCCTAGTATACTTTTATTCTAGAAAAATAATTAGGGTTCCGTGTAAAAAAATTAAAAGCCTAATAAAAAAACCTACACGTAGGCAAATCTCAGGGACAGCTGGTTTGCTATAAAATAAACTTTAATCATATACTTTATGCCGCACTTGTGGTTGAAAATTATCATATTAAATAAATTATTTGCCTTGAAATATTGTTATTTTATACTTCATTTTATTAGGAAGTTTTCATTTCTACCGCATGTGAACTGCATACAAATGTTCTTTTTTTTTTAAATATTATTTCATTGTTGTATGTTTTTTTGTCCAAATAATGAAATAAATCAAAAAAACAATTGACGTGAAGTGACGAGAACTGTAGAGTTTTTTATCGGTAGTTGTCATTATTTCACTATCGTCTAAATCTCAGGCGTGACTATGCAACTGCATTTTGATTTCTAATCGAGCATAAATGTATGTGCCTTTAATCCACAGCATTTGCTATTAAGTGAACTGCGAACTTACGGGTCACTATTACTTCTACAAAAACCTACCCGTGCTCGATACGCTTGACTACAATGATATAGCCCGATTGAAAAACCAACAGTTTTAAGGTGGTAGAAGCATGCTGCAGCTATATTATAATTGTAGCACGAATGGGTCGGCTTGAATGTGCTCTTTCACTGAAAACAAGGCATTTCATCTTAGTCCTCATGGATGACAACGCATATTTATTTTGATACTTAATCGAGGATACATGTAGATATCTATGGGCCACAGCATTTATTTACCATAAGTTGGACTATGTGCTCGTTTGTATCCCTTATTATATAAAAAATTGCAATTTATGTAGAACACTGCAGTGTTCACGAGTTAATGAGCATGACCGTGAGAAGAATTACGGTAATTATAAATTTGTAAACCTTTCAATGAGGAAGGAAACCAAAATGACCCATTCATAATAGATAATTTCTTAAATTGTTAAAGTTATAAAAATATTTTTAACTAACTAACGATGTTTTATTTAAAGCGTAAGTTGTTGTCTTGTTGTTAAAGAAAGTTTTCCCTTGCAATGCAAATTTTTATAAGGATACAAAGTGCAGCTTAAATCGCAAAAGTTTTATCTTTTAAGCAAAAATATCAAAACAATTTTAAAAGATTTTATGTATATTAGCGTATAATATCACAAATTGACAAAGCTTCTAAAAAAATGTTGTTGCAGTTGATCATGGGCGGCGGTAGTCACTTAACATCAGGTGAGCCACATGCTCGTTTGCCCCCTCTTCTATAAAAAAAAAAAAAAAAAAATACTTGTCTAAATTTATGAAATGTTTAATTTCACTCAAACCGGTAAAATTAAACTATTAATAAAAATTAAAAACAGACTCCTATAATAATAAAACAATATGTTTATCAGATTATATGAACGTATTTAAAAAAAAATTGTACCGTTGGTTAATTGACAATATTTATGACATTAATGAATTTCTGACATTTTAAACTAGATTTTGACATTGTAAAACATAATTATAATTTAAATAAACATGTTTAATTTCTTAATTTTATTACTATATAGGTTATCTTGATTTAAATGTAATTTGCATGCTATATTATATTAAAATAGCAAAACATGTGGACATAATAAAACTCTGAAACATCTGTATAATTACCATGTTTTATGCAAATAAAGACTATTGTTATTATTATTTGGGGTATCTATATAATTTTCTCACCTGGTTGGGTTCTATAAATATATAATTATAAATTAAAATGAAAAGATAAATGTACATAAATATCAATAAAATAAAATAAATACAAAAACTACATAAATAAATAAGATCCAACCAGTTGGGAGCCCTCGGCAGGGGAGACCAGACGGCCGAGGGTTAGGGGGAAAGGGAAAGAAACCGGCGGACGATGCGGGCGGTATCGAGGAGCACCGCCTTCTGCATGTGAGCGCGGAGCGGTCAGTCACGGAGTCCCAGTCGCCTCAGGTGACCCGAGAGGGTGACTGGGATTAGCCCATTCGCAGAGACGACTACAGGAATAATTTCGGTCGGCATACCACCCCACATGTCGGTCACCTCGTGAGCCAGGTCCAGATATTTTGTTCGTTTATCTGTTTCGGCTTTCACGAGGTTCTCGTCATACGGAATGGTAATGTCGACCAAAAATATCCTTGACTGTGCCCGGTCCATCAGCACAATATCAGGCTTATTCGCAAGAATAGTCTGTGATGATGGCCCGGTCCCAGTAGAGCCTGGCGCAGTCATTTTCGAGCACGGCTTCCGGCAAGTACTTGTAATACGGCAATTTTCGGTCCACGAGACCGTATTTCAGAGCGAGCTCCTGGTGTAGAATTCTGGCTACTAGGTTGTGCCTGTGCAAGTACTCAGAGTTAGAAAGCGCCGAACAAACGGAGATGACATGCCTAAGTGACTCCCCGGGATAGCGACAAGCTCGACAGACGTCGACAGTGCCATCCTTTAGGATGTATCTCCGATAGTTGTTGGTCTTAATAACTTGATCCTGTATTGCACAGACAAGACCCTCGGTTTCCCCGAAGAGGTCACCGAAACGTAGCCAGTTGAGGGAGGCAGATGTATCTACGTGAGGCTCATGTAGAGCCCTGTAGTACCTCCCATGGAGCTCCTTCTCCTTCCATACGGTCACCCGGTCGGAAATGCTCTGTACTGCCGGGTCTTGCCATTGCTCGTTGGCTAAGGATAGAGGGGTAAGTCCTTTATCACTAGAAATAACGTCATTATAGAATGGATCATCCGATCTCGCCAGGAAGTAATGACGGAGGCTGCACACTTCGCGATTATGCATGGTGAGCGCGCTCAGGAAGCCACGCCCACCATGCTTTCGCGGCAAGTACAGCCTCATTACCGACGATCTCGGATGATGCATCCTATGGGACGTCATTGTAATGCGGACTTTTCTATCCAGAGCGTTAAGTTCAGTCTGACTCCACCTGCGTATGCCAGAGGTATACATATTTCTGTAATCTATCCAAGCGGCGGAGAAGTTCCGACGGTTGCGTTTCACCACTTTGCCAATGACCGCATCAATGAGGTTCCACGACCGCCACCCCGACATCCATTTTGAGCGCGCGACATCACCTGATTTGAGTCCAGGTGACGAGCGATTCTCGCGCTCAAAATGGATGTTAGTGTCTTGTATATAGTCGGTAGAAACGTGATGGGGCGGTATTTAATCGGGTCTGTGGCACCCTGATCTTTAGGAACCAAATGAGTGATCCCAGTAGTGAAGAGGCTTAGGAGCGACTTCTGGTTGAGAGCCTCTTGAAACTGTCGAGCGAGCACAGCGTGACACACCATGAACCCCTTCAGCCAGTAGTGATGCAGCCCGTCAAGCCCCGGACTTTTCCAGTTCGGGGCCCTACGGACCGCCTCAGCTACGTCATCCGGCGTTATGATGACGGGGTCCATGGGAGTAATATCCACACACTGACTCGCCACAACTTCCGTCCAAGGGCCCTCGTTGTGGTTTACGGGCTCTGACCACAGGCTGCGCCAGAATGCGACCGTGTCGGCCTGATATGGTGCAGGGCCGGTTCAACTTATTATTGGTCGCTCCAATAATTAATAGAGCCTCTTCTGATCACTCTGGAAGAGACGATTCTGGTTGAACCGTGTCGACCTCTCGGTATATCGCCGAATCCGCTTTCCCCAAGCAGCTATTCTTTGCTTCAGGTCGTCTATACGCTCCGTCAGTTTTTGCATTATATCCGGCTGGGACAAACTAACATTTGTCCCAGCAAACGCCATCCTGACGGTGCGCACAATCTTTGGCCTGGTATTGCCTGACCTGAAGCATGTCAGTCTGCCGATGTGTGAGTGCTGCCGAGTGGAAAGTTTGGCGCCTATAATACGGCAGACTGCCAGTGCGGCGCAAAAAGAATTGAGTCCGTCTCGCAAAGGTCCCGGCTGGCTTCCAAATAGGTAACCAGCATTGGGTTCAGATCCCTCACGACAGCCCGATTCCGCTTGCTTAGGGCTAAGCGGTAAAGTCGCGGTCGATTTTCGAGAGGCGTACTGCGCATTTCTACAATCGCCTCCTCCAATGTACTCCTCATTTGCTCTAGTTCCAGTTCCTGGGCGACTGTTCCATCATCGTTTGAATCAACCACAACTGGCGTATTCACGGCGGCATCCACATTTGCCGTTTGCTCAGCAAGTTGTGGCCCCGCATCCTCAGACACAGCATTTTCACCCGATGAAGGAACAGCCTCACGTCGTAGCCGTTCGAGTTCGGTGACATCAAATGTATTTGAGCGCAAGATATACCGAACTCGGTCTGCCAGGTTTTGCTCGGTGACGGTTACAGATGGCTTCAGCTCAGCAAAAAGTCGATGCATCCTTGCCCGATACGCAAAACCTCCAGTTTCTCCCCCCTTTCGCCCTAAAATACGCCCGCAATGCGTTGCTGTTCATCTGGGTTGTCCAACGCATGCGGCGTACTCCACCAGTGGCGGGTGCCGATTGCTGGGCCCGCGAAGACCCTGCCGACACCAAACCAGCTGGTGGGAATGATGGATGCGAGGGGCTGCTGGGTGGTCGTGCAGCACCTCGCGCTCGGCTGGCGGTTCGCATGCTGTCGCGTCCAGCGCCAGCTCCAGACGCGCCCTGACGACCTCCAGGCAGCGGCCCTTTGCGCGTTCTTCCGTATTCCATCATCCATAGTGGTGGGCGTCATTTAGCGGGAGACGCCCAGACCCGGTGCCGTTTCATGGTGAGGCCATAAGCACAAGCGGGCCTTTGCACCTTCAATTTTTGCCGAGGCATGGCACTAACACCTCTCGGCAAGGTGCTGACTGACTGCGCTGACGTACCGGTTTTGTCACATAACCGTTACGTCAGCGGGCGATGGGGTCGTCACTTCCCTACGCCTTATTATTATTATTATTATTATCAGCTCCGCCGGATGACTGGAGTTTACTTCTGAAGAACGATTGTCTGTTAACATATAGAATAGACAAGATAAAATATACTATTTTACATTAAAATATATTATGACCTATATTACACTATTCATTTCGCGATATGAGACGCGCGAGTATGTTGCCATGAACTCCATAACACCTGATTTTACTACCCATCTATTTTTCATACCGTGCGCTATATATGAAACGATTCTTAAGGAGTAAACTCTAAAAAAAAATACATTCCACAAAGTTGATTCTTATCGTATTTTTTAGTTCTGAACTCGATATGTATCTTTTATTTAAAAAAACTTTATTAATTTACCCTATTGAGTGGTTAAATAAAATCACAAATACAAGGTAACAATTAGAATGTAGTTTAAATAATTGAATAATCTTCATTTCCAATTTTTCTTAAACTTTATAATCGATCACTCTTCAAGTACAGGTGTAACCTATTTATTAAAGAAGGAATCATTTAAAACGTTTCAGTCGTTTCCGAAGAACCGCTGAACATATCTAAAAATCAAACGCGTTGAATCTTCTCGTTTTAAAAAATAAAAGGATTGCATAACTCCATCTCACAATACATCGATAACTATTCTATGGAGGCTAAAGTGAAAACCCGTCTAAACTATTGTTTTAAAATATGAATATAAATTCTGATTCGATCGTGTTTACTCAATAATTTAAAGACCCATAGTTTTGTAAAAAGGCCACGCTAAAATGATTGAAGTCAACATCGATTTGTAGAAAATAATGCTTTTGGTTGAAAAACGTTTCTGAGGATGATATCTCAAATTTTTGTAGAATTGGAAAAGTTGCACCCTCACTAGCCTTGTACATTTTAATGGATACACACAGTTTTTTCAGGCGTATCTTTTGACACATTTTAAAAAGAGGAGTACATACTTATGCTACTTGTATGAAATTCAACTGAGCGGTAAGAAATCGTTTAATCTGCACTAAAGTTGATCGCCCAACGAATCAATCGTTCATTGCGCGACTAATTTCACGACCGGGTGATCACAACCAATCTGACCTTGACTTCGAAGCGCGTGTAGCTGAAGCGCTCTACATTTAAAAATCTAAATGAGTCACAGAGGGGAGTACGTTTGTGTGTAACACAGGGGCATGGTTTGGCAAAATATTCCACAAAGAAAAGTTAGAAAAGGATTTACTTTTAAGCCCGTGAAGCGAAATATAAAAAGGTCAAAATTAGCGTATATGAAAAAATACCTGTGGACCGCGACAACCCTAGAATTTTCTGGTGTGGTGTGGTGTGGTGCACACATGAATATTAATCACCAACCTAACTTAGACTTATTTAAAAGTAGGTATGATTAAAAAAATGTAAAAAATACGTTTCGTGCAAACTTTTTCGTGTTTAATTTTTAGCTAACACTCCGTTACACGCTCAGAGAAACATTACATAATGACACGTGCAACCCACTACTGTGTCCCATATTAAATAGGAGATTTTTCTCATTGGAGGAGTCGTGGAAGCTCCGAGTTTTAGCGCTCGCTGTAAATTTCACAGTACATGAGGAACCCGGGTTCGATCCCCGTCGGTCGCAATGAAATTGTTAATTGAAATTTTAAGTACTGATTCACCACGTACTCGGCCACGAACACGCTTTGAGGCAGCGCGTCTGATATTTCCTTGCCCTAAAACCGTCTCAGATGTAAGACGAGTGGTACAGCCACTGTTACTTTACCTTTTTTTACTTAACTTTTTGTTATTTGAGTAAAATTAAAACCTTAATATTTTATATGAAATTAGCCTTGTTTAAATCTAGACAAAAAACGATAAATTATTTTTCCTTATACGTGGATTTTATAAGAAATCAACATAGGGAAAGTAATTTGAGGCATTAGTCATGCGTGCCCCATGATCAGTTAAAATTTTATTAAGAGGACATCAAAGAGGATACGTCAACGATACGTCAACTCTAGATCTAGATGATACTAGATACAAATAATCAAGGCAAGATTCTCGTTGCATTAATTGCTTAATAATAAGCAAAGTATTTTTAATTTATTTCATTGCGACCCGCAACCCGCCTGTGGTTCACCTGGGTCATGACTATAAATGTCATTTATGCTTTCGTCTACTTTTAAGATTGGTCAATCGATTTCACAAAAAAATTTGACATGATTTACATATATGATATATATACACGTATAAAAGAAAGATATTTTTATTACTTAATTACTCTCGGCTTGTGCCCCATTTTACTTGAATCCCCACTAAGACCTTAATTAATGTTACAGTACACCGGTAACAGACATTTTTGCGGCGATAGAAAAAACAATTTAATTTTCTCAGCGATGACACCTATCTAGACAAAGTTAGATAGCAAAACATTATCTAAATACAAAACATTATTCCAATTTATTTAAAATGGCAGTATAATTAATTGTCAATTTCGTTTATAGTAAAGAAATAAGGTCAGCTCATATACTGTGATAAAAATGAGGATATTTTTTAAGACTAACAAAAAGCGAGGCACTCATGTTCACCAGAGCATGACATGCTCCAAGCGAGGAGAACTTACAACAATGTACGCAGGATTGTCTTGAAGCCACAAGGAGCTACGTTTATACGTTTCGCTACAACGCCTTGCTAAACTTCGCTGAAATCAGTAGGAAAGAAAATAGTTGCTCGCTGTTGCCAATTATGTTCTTTTTTCCTTATTTGGAATGTTTATTATGAGCATTCTCTCGTACAAAATATATTAATGTTAAGGTCTTCTAACGTAAAGAACGGAAATTAAATTCAGGTACAAATGTGGTCTATTAATGGACAGATTTATTCATTCCTTTTTTAGTTTCCCCATTCCAACTTTTGATATATTGTGATCTTCCATATTGAATCTTTCTAACTTCCTATAGATTATCGATCAGTAACTTTTACCTTATTCATAATTCTACCATTTTCCCTTTGATTATATTCATAATCGCAACCAACGAACTATGAGTCCACCTGATTATAAATGACTACTATAGCATGTGAACACCTGCAACCAATTTTAAACAAAGAAGGTAACAGATGCAATCAGATGTTTACCTACTTAGATGCCATGGATTCTCTTTCACTTTAATCTGAAACTCTGCAGTGAGTATCTTATCTTGACCATAGAAATAGGTACCTCGGCTACGTGGCAATTGGGCTCCTAAGTACCGATAAAATATGCACTAAGTCATTAGGTAGCACCTGGTGTTAAAAAGAGTATCGTCTTAATAGTTGCAATAAAAACTTCGTCGTCGACTTAAGATGTATTTCGAGACATGCGGGAATTACAGGCTATAAACATGCTAACATTCTCGGACAGGAGGGTATTGAGAACACAAATTGGACTAGATACTTTGAGGGATCTCTAAATTGAGCTTGTTCAAGTGGCTCTTAAAATCCTCAAAACACGTAGCCTTAAATATTCTGAAACCTTAATCAGGACATACAATCTAATATTTGTCTAGTAAGCGTTCGCCAAAGATATGCAAATTCTGTTTCTTGGTGATTGAAATCGCTCTGCATATTCTTAATTAACGTGGACCCCTTATGCGAAAAACCTAAAACATATTTGGAAAATAACTAACTAAGCCCACATAAAGTATAAGACCTCACAGTTAAGTAAATCCTGATACTAATTAAAAGTATATGGCTTAGATGTAAACTATAGCCAACGCAGCGATCAAAATAAATTATATTGGTCACAGTGATACTTATAAGTCGCTAAAATTCATCTTAAGTTGCATTGAAATTCTTTATACTATCTATAATTCTTTATACTATCGATATTGCAAAACTTTTTTTATAGCCCGACTACTTCGTGAAATCTGCTATCGCCTGCAATTTTCCAGACTGATATGATTTAAAGCGAGGCTTTAAAGAATTGTTCGGATTAAATACCGTTGCTAATTTTCATTATAAGTTGCGTTGAAATTCCTTAAACGATGTCGATATTGCAGATCTTGTGTGCATAGCCCGACTACTTTTTGAAATTTCCTATCGTCTGAAATATTCCAGACTGAAATTAATTTACGAGGAACCTTCAAGTTATATATAGCCTATTCCTTTCTCTAAAGCCGGCAACGGACGTGCGATTTCTTTTGGGCTGCGAATGTTACTAGCGGCGTTGATCACTTAACATCAGATGAGCCGCATGTTCGTTTACCCCTCTTTTATAAAAGTACTTACTTCCACCAAAATAAAAAGACTATCGAGTCCTGTCTGACGTTGCTCCAACTATCAATAGACAGATTAACAACTCTCTTTTTCAACTCATCTTTTACGCTTTCTAAAGATGAGTTGTAGACAGCGCCGAGAAGATTATCAGCAATTTGTTTGCGGTTTGGAGATTTCCACCATGGGCGTAAACTTTCCATTAATTTCGGGAACTATGGGTGTTCTACGTGGTGAAAGGCGTATTGGT